CAGTGCTGTAGAAGTATGATTTCACCTGAAGGTGGTGCTGTTTCACAAACTGTTGTGCCTCACTCTTATAACTCTTAAGGATTTGGTTTTAAATCCCAACACTTTTTTTATTGGCTCAGCACAGGAAACATTCATTGTGATCACAGTTGACATAAATGATATTTTTAGCTGGTTATCAACTCATGTCTTGGATTAACATCCTTTGTGTCTTATTCTTTTAATATGATCTTTTAGCAGCAAGAAATATTTCCAGGATCAGGCGTATTCGTGACCAGGGCTGTGTGGAATGAAGCCAACATGGCTGACACCGGGACAAAAATGGCCAGGATTCTGGTGACGGGTGTGTTCAACATCGAAACACTGATGCAGTGCAACTTGAGGGGTCAGTATTGTGAGTAGCACCTGAGCACTCAATTACTTTATAAGCAAATCTAATAAAATCCCACTTTCTCAGGAGGGAAATCTACAATTGCACCAGACGTGCCGCAGAAGAAAGCCCTTGATCAGAAAAAAGTGGAGGCCATTATCGGTGAGTTGGTTTTACTTTGTTTAATCTATCTATCTATTATAGCTTTGGTACATTTCTCAAATCATCCTTTCTCACCGTTTGTGGAACATATCGATCATATATTGATTATATATTGATCATATATCATATATCTATCATATCGATCATATATATTGATCATATATTGATCATATATCTGTTGTATATCTATCAGCATTTCTTGAAGCAGTTTGTACAAACAGCACCACACCATGGATTACCTGCAGAAATCTGTATCTTCTGCAAAAGTTTATCTCTCAGAAGTACGGACATGGCTGTTCTCCACCAGTATCGACAACCTGAGAGCAATTCATCAATTCAAGACACATTCAGTAAATATACTTACTACGCCCAGATGTTTGGGGGTTGAGACTCGTCAACAGACAGATCATTTCAATTCTGATTGGAGAAATGTACCAAAGCGGCTGAGAGAAACTGTAATCCACACCAGCATGAAGACGCATTACTTTGCTCTGTACGTTTCTAGATGCTGTTCGCGAGAAGTTCCCGGAGAAGACCAGGGGTGAAATTGGAAAGGCCATAAATGATAAAATGCACAAACTCAGGACTCAAAAAAAAAAAGGAAGATGATCAGGGATGGTTTGAGTCAAGAGATTGTGAGATGTTCTATTTGACGGTTCATGTCATCACATTAGTATTTTGGTGCTTTGCTGACATTGGCAATAAAATTCTAAATAAAACATATTTTACTTGATCCTCTGTGCTCCATTGTTGTTTATTTCATGATCTGGAATGTAATTGATGTCACTGACTAGAAGACGTCACACTAATATTAATGTGAAGATTTAAACCTTTATATATTAACAGCAGCCTGTTAAACACCCACCGGCTCCTGTTTCTGCCCACTGTGAACTCTTTTGGTTCAAACCAACCTGATAAGCAACAACAACAACAAAGTTACATACATTTACTATAATTAAAACACAGTTTTTAGCTTTAAGTTGACA